ATTGAGTTAATAACAAATATTTGCACATTTGAAATTGCGCCTTTTTTAGGAAAAGGTAAAAAAATGAAGGTACGCAAAACTGTAAATAAGCGACTTATGTTAAAAAATTGTTTTTACGCTGTGTTGGTGTTTGTGTTGTGATAAAATGATACAGGCGTATATTTATTGCAACACAAAGATCACAACGCATGGCAATGCGTCACAAAGCTTTGCCATGCGCTGCCACAGTTAATGTAAAAAAAAAATACATTAAAAAAATCATGCACTGTGATGCGTTCTGCAGCGCATGTGCATGGCGTACACCTCAATATGTGTATGTTATGTGGGGGGAGGGAGGGGTTGTGCTTTTTTTTATTAGTTTTTTTTGTACACTTTTTTTTATTCAATTTTTTTTAATTTTAATTTACATTTTCTATTTATTTTTTAATATTTTTTTTTTACTGTTGGGGTTGCGGTGAAATATCTTTTGAATTTCCCTTTTGAAATAAAAAAAGAAACTGAGGACATAGAGTACTCAATTTCTTTTTCTGCAGCCCCAGCACCCAATGAATGGGAAGCACTCAGTACAGAGGCTTCCCATTCATTCAGAAACTAATGATAGTAAAAAAATCTTACTATGATTACTTTATGTGTCCCCAGTTATTTACAAACACCGGAGTGATCAGACGATCCCTCCGATGTTTGCTCTGCACTGTGGGATCGATAAATATCAATGATATCTAACGATCCCCCGCTCGGCCACGCACAGAGCCACTGTCATCCAAAAACTGACAGGATGACAGCGGCTCCAATCGGAACACCGCTCAGCCATCCTGAATTGCGGCCAGCCGCCGCTCGCTCCCCCGACCCCCCCTGCCGGTGATTTTATTACGGATCCCCACTGCCACAGACCCTACAAGCGGGGGACAGCAGCGGGGATCCAGAGACTCCATATGGCGGAGGGGGGGGCACCTGGTATTTTTGATGATAGCAGTCATCAGTGGCTTGTGAGCCGCTGATGACAGCTATTAATTTGAAGGGGACAGTCCGGGAAACAGTTCTACTATAAGCTCATGGTCGCTAAAGCAACCATGAGCTTATAGTAGAACTGTAAATGCCAGGTCCGTACGGCATACTGAGCTGGCCAGCCGGGAACACTTATGTTCCTCCGTATGCCGTACGTCCTCGGCAGCGAAAGGGTTAAGGCAGAAGAGGCTTTCTCCTGACAACCCTTCCAATCAAACCATGCTTGTACAGTCTTTTTCTAATTGTATGTAATGAGTCCGAGATGTAACTCTGTTTTTTTTTGCAATTTCTCTGAGCATTGCATGGTCTGGTCTTGGGGTGAATTTGCTGGGACGTCCACTCCTGGGAAGATTGGCAACTGTCTTAAATTTTCCTCACTGTAGAATGATGGCCTTTAAGTTGTTTGGAAATGGCCTATCAACCCTTCCAAGATTGATGGGCAGCAATTGCTTCTCTGAGATCATTGCTGATGTATTTGCTCCTTGGCATTGTGTTAACACACCTGAATGCTCCAGACCAGCAAACTGCTAAAACTTTGGCTTATAGAGGTGGCAACACTTGCCGATGAATATATAATCAAGGGCATTTGATTAGCAACACCTAGCTGCTACTGCTTCCATAGGAATTAAGAGGCTAAGTAACGGTGTACTTAGTTTTTCACACATCACTTCTCCATTTTGGTGTAATGTGTTTTGTTGTTCACCTGAAGGTGTATTTAGCTCATTTGAAGACCTGCTAAAAGGACCAGATGATTTTAATTACGTCCTAATATGTAAAATAGGGATGTCCCGATACCGATGCTAGCATCGGAATCAGGCCCGATACAGGGCAAAAACCATAAAATTCAGTGAGGGTGTACTTTGACACAACTGTATAGAAGAAGAAAAAAATACAGTCGTTATTGAATACCACCAACAAAAAGCTAATTTCTTGTCTTCATGGTCAATCTTTGTTCCTGTTTTATTACATGTTGTTCACAGGAATGTGTCAAAACTATCTAGGCGCAGCGTTTCTTCATATGAATTTCGGCTATATGTAGTAATTTCATCAATTTCTCATTTCAAAACAATACGGTTTTGTTTATTTTTGTTTACAGTAATGGACACAAACCCGTAAATACAAAGCATTTTAATATGGTGCACGTTGGTACAGATAACTCTAAAAAGGAGTCATATCAATCAAATCAAGAACCTAAAGAAAATTGTGACCATTGGTTTAATTGAATCACCATTAGCACAAAAAGTGTTGTATTCTGATAACTGTATTTAGTCAATACGTGTAATATAAGTATTTAGTTGACTTTTTTATTCACATGCCTTTATATAAAAAAAAATTGTACTTGCACTTGAGGACATGGGAGGTAGGGCTGTACCAACTATTCGATTAAATCGCTGTCAACCATTCTCATGATTGATTAGTTGATATATGGGCTCCGTGTCCCTTCTGATCTCCGCTGCTCCCAGCGAGGAGAGGGACACAGACACCTGCAGCTAGTGTCCAGCGGTGAGCAAAGCTCTGTAACTCTCCCTGGGGAGGCGATAATGCTGCCCCTGTATCACCGCCTTTAGCTGCCATGCTCCTCTGTGCCACCGCTGTGTCCTCACCACCACCCACCGAATAGGAGACTTGTAGCTGGCGGAAGAAAGCTGGCAACAAGTCTCCCATCCAGGGAGCAATAACAAGCCTGCTATTGGGTATTTTAAATTGTAAAAGCAGGCTGGCCACTGCCTCCTGTCAAATCAGCAGAATACGACCTGAATGAGAACTTTCTCCTTCAGGTCCCTCCTCTGCTGATTGGCAGCAGGCAGTGGGTGGGTGCAATAGATAGCCAATAGCAGACTGGCTATTGCTCCCAGCCACTGCTTGCTGTATTTACAGTCCCCAGCTAAAGCTATTGAAGTGGAAAGGCGACACTAGGAGACTAAAATACCCCCTAGTGTCACCTTGAAGAGAACCCGTTAGCGCCAACATGCTATCACATTGGGGGCTTGTGAGCCCCCCCATGTGATACACATATATACATACACACTTACTATAATTATTGGTATTAACATACAGCTATCAGAAGAAAATACATTTGTACAATATTGGAGCTTTAATGAACTTGAAGACAAAAGGGAGAAGGAGCATATGGGACTTGTTTGTTTTAAAAAAAACAAACAAAAAAAAAACAAAAAAAACACAACTGAAAATATCCTAGCATTAGATAACAATGGACCTGCACCATCTTCACCAATTTAATAGGTATACGAATTTTCATAAACATACAACATGGAAATAAGGCATAGCTGGTTTTGTATAGTAAAATACAACAAACACTTCCCAATGTGTGTATATATATATATATATAAAAAAAGTGTGTCACAAGTTTAACAGTTATACTGCATTGTTACAGGTCATAGTTTTGTGTCATTCAAATGAACGTAGGTAGAAATCTGGACAACGGTACTCCAATAGCAAATCAGATACGTCCATTTATTCGGGGTCTCACAGGATCCCATTCATCAGGCATCACTTGTTCTGCCTGATGAAGGGGATCCTGTGAGACCCCGCAACGTTGCACTGTTATGCTATGCTGTATGTACATCAATAAATAGATGCATCTGATTTGCCATCGGTGTGCCAGTGTCCATATTCCTAACTACGTCACCTGCCGTTGCACCCACTTAACTTTCATGGAGCAGCGGTAATGAGTGTGATGGGTATATGGACTGTATTCTAATGAACATGATTAGGACTAAGAAGTTTCACAACATTTCCAGACACAAGAAAACTAGCAAGCACTGTGTTAGACTTCCCAGCAATCCTTGTGGTGTCACTTGGCTCCCACACTCAAACTGTACACTTTTGCTTAATATGAGATTAGGCCCTGTCCCTTTAGGCTTCAAGACCCACCTCCATCTTTCAACTGTCAAATGTCAGCACTTGTACCACCAGCTGAATGTCAGGGGGGCAAAGCAGGGCTTAATCTCAATTTAGGAAAAAGTAAAGACCCCATTTGCTAGCTAGGCAAGCTACAACAGGGTGCCTTCACTTTAGCATAGAAACATTTTAGGTTCAGAACAGGTTCACTTTAAGGAAACTGGTATAGAGAGAACAAATAGGCTCAGTAGCTGAAGTCTCATTCTGAAAATGCGAGTTACCTGGAGGCCATGCTAATTGATTGGCTTTAGTACTTCAGAGGTTACTTTACTGCAACAAGTATGAAGACCAGCAGCTTTGACTTAATTTGCTGTTCTAGGTCAACATCTCAGAATGTCAAATCCAGGAAACTGGAATTTTCAGATCAGCAATGGCAGATTCCGTCTCAACACAATTTTACTTTAATAGGAAAGCTCCAAAAAGTAATGTTACAGCAGTTTGGTAAGTTGCTACTACTACAGTACTAAATAGGTTTTATAAATCAAACATCTGGAAGGAATTATTTACATGTATAGATTTTCTTTAGTGTTTCACTTTTAGCTTTCAAAATGGGCTAGGTTTTCTTTGTAGCCATGTTCCTTGAGAAAGCGTGTTAGTCAAGATGAACATAAATCAACAATGTACCCACTGACCGGTTTGTTGGGTTCCTTACATGTTCACTATACCACATAAAAATTGTTTAATCCTATTATATGGCTATTATTTAAGGACAACCGTCACCAAAAATATTGTACTCCGATACCTGCATTAGGTCATTATATGTAATGATAGCATTCTGTATATGAATTTCATTCAATATGCCTTCATTTATATTTCTTTCCACATTTACATGAAGACTGAGCGACCCCGTCTAGTGACAGGGGTTAAGACTAAACTATGCCATTTCTAGGGGTGCTTTAGCAGTTGCAGAAAAAAAAAAAAAAAGGTAACTGTTGTAAGCAAGCCTGGCAGGAACTTAGCTGCTCTCAAGCCACAGTCACATTTGTACCGTGCAAGGAAAATTAAGCAGAGGCATTTTAAGTAAAAAAGTTTATATGCGGAATACCATCATTACAAACAATAACCACTTATAGTTTTTAGAATACAATGATTTTTTGCAATAGTCGTCGTCTTTTAAGCAAAACAAAAGGGTAATAGCACGTGATAAGATCATATTCACGGATTTAAACACGCAGAATTTATTTTTATGTACTTAGACATCGAATTACAGACAATGATATTGATGGACGTCTGCGTTAGATCCTTTGTTACTTTGAAGTCGGTGGTGGACCTTGTTCAGGGTTTGAAGTCGCCGGTGAAGTATGCAGATTGGTTTCCTTGAAGACAAACCATGCATTGCCTGCCCACAAGATCAAATTCAGGAATCCAAAAGCCTTAAATAAAAATATTTTAAAAAATTAAGAATGGGGAGAGGGAGAACTATTTCTTATGGCTCCTTTGCAAGCAACAGCAGAGCCTCTGTCCCACTTTTTCCTACATTACTTGAATGACTAGGTCAATTAAACTACGATAGAGAACGTATGCCTTTTTAGTCAGGCCAGTAAATATACAAGTATATTGCAGCTCTCTGATGGAATGATTTTATTAAAAACACTGACTGGAAGGCTCTGAAAGATAAAATGATTAAAAAAAAAACACTGCACGCACGCACACCTTTTGTAAAGGAAGAACAGAAAAGACTGCTCTGGAAAGGGTCATATATTATAACAACTCCACAGTACTAGATTATTGGGAAAAATGTGTATGGATAAAATCTTTAATGCAGGGACAGAGTACTTTAGTGAGGTAAAATTGTCAGACATGAATCATCCACTTTGCCCACAGATGTGCATGCCCCCTGGAGTAATCTTATCCCGTCACTAGGCTCCATTCTCAGCATCCAATAAATGCCAGGAAAGGAACAGGGCTGTACAGCACATTGCACTGGAGTCCGTGCACAATAAAAACACAAACTTCTCTTTTTGCATCTCTGAAATCTTAAGTTGCAGACTTATTTCTCTGTATCACAAAAACATTCAATGCAAGATAAACATAATGCGGGAAATTCAAAAAAGGCTCAGCACAACTTCCCGCAGTAGGGACCTTTAAAAAATTCTGCGCCAAAAAAGTCTGGTCACCAGTCTTGGTAGATTTACAAACACAGATTCAGGTAGTTCAGGAATGGATGCGACAGATTTAAAAATGATTACCAACAGTTTAGATTCGAAAACTGGGAGGTAATTAAGGCCAACTCTGATCCGGCGTACAGAGAGACACCGGTGCTCAGAGTGAGGGGTGTGCATGAAAAGGTCATGAATCTGACAGCTTCCTGTTCAATAGGTGCTAGGACACTAGGGCGCTGGAATCCTAGCAACTAAATTATGTATCCCCAACCAAATTTAGCTGCTGGCTGGAAGATTCCCTAGCCAGAAGTTGAATGTAAACAAAGGGGCTGGGGATGCTGGCTGAGATCATTACCCAAATATGGCCACATTTTGGGTAATGATCTCAGCCAGCATCCCCCCTTGTTTTACCAGCCTCTGCTGTTGACTGACAGCAGCAGAGTAGACATGATGAGGAACCCAGAATTCCCCCATCAGGTTCCACCCACTATCCATGTCACTGGTCATTAAGGATGCTGCCATGTGTACCCGACAGTTTCATTAATAACCAGCTACACCCACTGACAGTGATGCTGTGTGGGTGGAGCCCGATGGGGAACTCTGACAACAGAGTTGCGCATAAGGTCCACTTTCTTCCGATTGAAAGCAGGCCATGGGTGGGTGTCAGAGCCAGTCTGTTATTAGTTATGGCACCCACCCACTGCCTTCTGTCAATCAGCAGCAGAGCAGTTCTCCAAATTCCCTATCAGACTCTGCCCACTGTCATCACTGGCCGTTAACCAGTGAAGCTACGTGGGTGGAGCCTGATGGGGAATTCTCAGAGGAATAACAATGCACCCTCTGACAATGAACTCCTTTTCCTTTTTCTCCAGAAGGATGAAATCATCTTTGTTAAAGGCATTAGTTAGGGTCAGTATCCACCTTTTAGACTGAAATTCATACTCTTGCTTTCGTAACCTATGACGAGCCAGTGCAAAAATCCGTCACAATTTAATAAGCATCACTGCTGCCCCCTGCCTGAAAACTACACTGAACAGAATGATCACTAAGGGATAACTTAAGACTGTGTCCTAGAACGTTTATGCCAATCAAGATCAAAAACTCTATTTAGCTATATAGAATTGTTTTAATATTATGCTGTTTCTATGCAGCATATATTGAAAGCAGAATTAACCCCAACTATTTATTTTTTCTTAACAGAAAGCTTATGTTAGAAAAGTTCTATATTCCTTTATTGATATGACCAACATTATTTTCTGCATGCTTTCATTTACATTCTGCCTACTAGCGCATATGCACTATATGCTACACTGAAGGCATGCCTCTATCGATTACAATGTGCTTATATCAGCCCTCAAATGGATGATGTCCAAGTTGGTCACGTACGCAGCAGGCATCGTTACTGCAGATCTAAACAGAGGCTAAGAAGGCACCATCTTCAGTACATAGGAGTGTTTCGTTCTGCTTTAAACATTTCACATTCCCCTTCCCACAGAATTCTAAAATTCAAGATACACAATTTGGATACCCATTTCTCTATTGAAAAAGACAAATTTCTTACCACTGAAATGTTTAGCGATCCCACGTGTGGTTCATCTCCAGAATGGCACTTGTAAAAGCTAGTTTGATTGCAGTGATTTAAAGCAATATTGTTTGTGTTGGTCGCAGATTTAATATCGGTCAATCCTTTACCCCATGCAGAGGAACTCACAAGCCACATAAAGGCAAAAATGACCGTGATTACAAAATCCTAAAAGGGAATAGTCACAGGTATAAATATTCTGGTTTAAACAGAACCTTTTGATAAAGTGCACCTGTGCCCAGACTATGGACATTAAACTTTACACACATTCCTAACAAGTCATACGTGACCTCTCTAGGTGTTTGTATTGTGAAGTATTTCATTCTCAGGACCTGTTCACCTACCATGCGTTAACTGTCCAGAAGGTGCTTTGCTTTACTATTTGATGTATGCCATTTTTTTTTTTTGTTTACCTGCACAGTACTGCAGTACTGTGTTGTGATGCGGTCCATTGCATTGCGGGTGGGAGGTGCGTTGTGTGCTACTGTGCATTCACCGCATGGACCTGATGTGAACAGACCCCCAAAGATTTCAGTTTAAAGCTTAAAAACATCTGCTGTGTATGTTAAAACTAGAGGGCTGACAGGCTGCTAGAATTCTGCTTGCCATAGAAAATGTGTGTGTGTGTGTGTGTGTGTGTGTGTGTGTGTGTGTGTGTGTGTGTGTGTGTGTGTGTGTCTCTGCTGCAAACTACGTACCGTATTTTTCGCTCCATAAAGATGCACTTTTTTCCCCCCAAAAGGAGGGGGAAAATGTGCCTGCGTCTTATGGAGCGAATCCCGACGCCCGAGACATGCAGTTTCGGGCGCCGGGCGAGTAGTAGGAGCCACTGCTCGGCTTTAATACGAGTGCTCTAATGAGATCACTCGTATTAAAGCCGAGCAGCGGCGATCGAGTTCAGCAGTAGGAGCCACTGCTCGTTTAATACGAGTGCTCTAATGAGATCACTCGTATTAAAACCGAGCAGCGGCAACGATCGAGATTACCATAGAGTAGACGAAGAACGGACGTTCTTCGTCTGCTCTGTGTGATCACTGAGACCGTGGCGCTGTAATCAGAGCGCCACCTGTCTCAGCGGTCACTAACTGCAGCTTCTGTCACAGCTTCTGTCATAGAAGCTGTGACAGAAGCTAGTCTGTCGAGTGCTCCATAAGGCGCGCCTGACCTCCCTGCGTCCTATGGTCCGGTGCGTCTTATGGACCGCAAAATACGGTATATCAATTTCTCCACAATGCTTATAGCTAGAAGTGAATTATGTCTTGTGTGCATTTACTGCTTTTTCCAAATATATAAATACTCAAGTGTGCATATTGGGGCAAAAGTTCACTTTAAGGTCTATAAAAAATGTGTTTTGCTTTTGTGTACAATATATTTAAACATTAATGATGCGAGACAGAATTCTGTCACATCTAATAAGTGATCAGTGTTGTAGAGCTGAATTGTTAGATTTCATTACTGAAGCAACTGCTGAGCAATAAACATTGGCTCTACATTTCTAACTCTATAGCACAAAACAGAATAAAGTCAGGAGCTGTTGATACTGTCCTGTGACTTGACACTAAAGACAATTCTTGAAACAACTAATCCCTCAGTATTACATTTTAACAATGATTTAGTCACCGGCAGGTTTGACTTTATTTAGTTGGTAAACCAATGCATAAAGTGCTTGTTTCCAGGTGACCGATATTAGGTGTACCAGTACGTTAAACATTCAGGGGGGAATTTACCAAAACTAAGAGCAGTTGCCCATTTCATCCAATCACCATCTCTCTTCAGTTTGCTCAGGAAAGATTTTAACATGACACGAGCAGATTTGCACTGCAACCAATCAGCTTCTCTGATTTTTGTCTGCTCCAGTTTTGATGAATTCCGAGTTTTTTTAGGTGTTAATTCTAGGATTTTGTGACTATAGCAGGAACAATAAAACCACACACTTCTGGGTCATATTATGAAAGAATAAAACATCTGTCTTCATGTTCTTAGGATTCCAAACAGTTATTTGAAGGAATAACCATTTTGCAATTGATAAATCAGATTCCTAACAGCACTTACCATTGGGACCAGTCATACTGTACCATCCATGCAGCAATAAGGAGAACATTGGCAGTTAATTTATGTAAACAGCAAAACAGAAACTCAATCTTTTAAAAACAGCTGTCAACATGCATGCAAGTTTTTTTTATAGAAATGCTGTCGGTCCAATCACTACGGCAGACTTGTCAGTTATTAATTGTCTGGCAGCATAAAGACTGGCACTAAAAAGAGGGCAGGGATATGAACACAAAGGGGTGAATGAACAAAAAGGGAAATATGAGAGTTTTGTGGTGGAAATATTGGTACATTTTCTGTGCTCTAAAATTAACAATGGTTTAAAAAAAAAGAACTCCAGGAAATCTAAAAATTAACTCTTGCAGTGGGGCTACCCCACACCGCATAGTACAATGAAAGGTGTCAAAGATCCTTCCCTCTGTGCTACGACCCACATTACAACAACGTCAACTTTATATTGCATTTTGAGAACTGAATTTGTTTTCCAGAACTCCCTACCCACTCTGCTGCTTCTTCCTCATGCGAGCTGTGGCTGGGAGGAAGAGATGGTTAGGCAGAGACAATAATTGGCTACACACACAAAAGGCATCTACCTGGTGCCACGGCCTCACACAAATTCCCAGAAGCAGCAGGCTGCTGGTACTTGAGATATTCTGGATGATTTTGTGTTATGTTTTTAGGTCTGCTTTCACTGCTCCATAAAATGTGTGTGAAAAGTTAGAGAATGTCCATGTTCATTCCAGTGCTTTGCATTGTAACAAAGTTTCTAATGAAGAACTGAACACAATTAAGCCACTACAGCAATCAAAACTGGCGAGACAAAAACATTGCCAAATGGATTGTACTTACAATGCGTGGTACATTTCCAGAGTTTTCATAAAGATGCTTGTACCCAAGATAGAACACAAGAGCTCCCAGAGAGTAAAGGAAAGCCAATACAGCAATGCTAACGTAAAACTGCGATGGAGAAGAATAATCGCCGGTGAGGTGGAGTTCTTCCCATTTCTCTTTACAGATCTCGTCAAACCCTTTAAATATAACGGTATTTAGCCTAAAGATGAAGCACAGAATGGATGGATTAGCATTTGAATGATGGAAACATTGTTCTCATGTTAGCAGCTAAATAGATCTAATATGATAGATTGATGGATAGTTAGTACCCATCCCTTTATATTTTATTTTTAGGTTCTTAAGTTTTGCAAACAATCTCAAGAGTCTTTAAAAAAGTGCATATAGGTAGAAATGTTATATTCTGCAAAGTTTTTACTATTTAGTGCAAATATCTTGCCAATTCATTTGACTGAAATCAATGTATTACAAATGTAACTGCAAAAATGTATATCTTTTTCTAACAAGTGGTTACACATCACACATGTAGCTACAGACTAAATGAGAAACTTCATTTGTTTCAAGGACATGACAAAATACCCAATTATCACGACACTTCTATAATGGATGAAGGGAAGCAACTCTTGCTACATTGCCTAACTTCATCTGCTGTCATTTTGGCAATTAAGAATTCATAACACTTCATTTTTTTTTTATTTAACTAACCATATAGGAGGTCTACTTAGAGATTCTATTTGAAGGCAGCATGAAAGGAAAGTATGTTATGAGTGTTTTCTGTAAGTTTCCCAATGCGTGGCATATAATAGAATTCATAAGAAAATATTTGCAACTTGCACTTTAAAGTTTCCCACTAATACCGGTTTATAAATCACAATATGTTCAATCGTATACAAGTAAATATTATTATTACATAGTATTTATATAGCGCCAATAGTTTGCGCAGCGCTTTACAATATAAGGAAGACATTACAGTTACAATACAATTCAAGACAAGATGGTAAGGAGGGCTCTGCCCCTGAGGGCTTACAATGTGAAAGAGGAGGGGGAAATGATACATGAGGAGGTAGCTGTGGGAATTAATTATTTGAGAATGTTAAGGTTCAGTGGTTAGATCGAGGTGGGATAGGCTTCCCTGAAGAGATGAGTCTTTAGGGAACGCCTAAAGGCAGTCAAGGTGGGAGATAGGACAGGTTGGGGTAAAGAGTTCCAGAAGATGGGAGATACTCTAGAAGTCCTGGAGGCAAATATGGGAGGAGTGGACAAGGGAGCTGGAAAGCAAGAGGTCAATGGATGAGCGGAGGGGACGGTTAGGGTGATACTTAAGAGACAAGGTCTGAGATATATCCGGGGCCAGAGTTGTGGATGGCTTTATACGTGACTATTAATATTTTGAATTTTATCCTCTCTGCGAGTGGAAGCCAGTGTAGGGATTGGCAGAGGGAGGATGCAGACACTGAGCGGTTGGTAAGGTGAATGAGTCTGGCAGCTGCATTCATGATAAACTGAAGGGGGATATCCTGTGTAGTGGAAGGCCAATGAGGAGGGAGTTACAATAGTCAAGACGAGAGATAACAAGGGAGTGTATGAGTAGTTTTGCGGTGTCATTGGTGAGGAAGGGGCGTATTTTTGAGATGTTACGAAGGTGAAGGCTAAATATAAGTGCACTGGTCATGCACTCCCCTATGTGATAACAATAAAGTGTAAAGAAAAAAAAAAAAGTCCCCCGCCCCCACATACACGTGTTGGGTGCGCCTACGTGCGAAAACCTAAGTTAGGTTCCTGGTAACTTATTTTCCAGGAATCGTCCAGGGCAGCCTCTGAGAGATGGGATCCTCCCACCTGAAACAGGAAACACATCATCCACAATTAGAATAAAAGGGCGGTCCCTCCTAACCACCTCAGTATTATCATAGAACCGGAGACCGGAAAGGACCACAGGTAACAATGAAACTCATGTTGAAACACACCACTCAATAAGCAGGGCGGGAATCCATGCTGCCCTGGACGATTCCTGTAAAATAAGTTACCAGGTACCTAACTTAGGTTTTCCCCAGTCATTGTCCAGGGCAGCCTCTGAGAGGATAAATTAGGAATTAATATACTTAACCGGGGGGAGGGGGGACACACTGGCAAGAGCACCTTACTACCGAGAGTCTGATCAGAACAGATGGGAGGGTAACTCTGCAGTGCTACGCCAAAGATTGTAACTCAGCTCAGTGACTTTACAGATTTTCTCTGGCGACCCTAGCCCCTCTGCCCCAGATGAGTCCAAGGCCATCATTGCAGCTGGTCATAAACCCTTCTAGAGGATGACAGGGCGATGCACGTCCGAAGCCACCAACCATCAGTTGTATGGTGTTTGTTAGCCTGTATCAAGCAATAGGTCAAAAACATTCTTGGAGCTTCTCAAGGAGTGACAGAAGTCCAAGTAGTACCAGAGAAATCTACTAAAGCCTTGTTAGATTTAGAAGCCAACTTCCATCCTATGGATGAAACAGGATAAAAAGAGGAACGCCAACCCTCTATTGATATACATGCCAAATCATACGAGTGTGACTGTACACACTCGGTCTTCACCTGGCTAAGATACCATGGATTAAGGCCTCTCAGGAAGGAAGGCGTACATACATACCTATGTGTACACTCACACCCAGACACCAAAAAGATGCAGAGTTGTTTGAGATTTGTCTAGGACAGCTGTACTTAGGCTCTTGATCAAAGCCCGTCAATTCCAGGACTTCTGACCTTTACAGAACCCAAGGGCTCACTGGGTAAGTTCTACATAGCCAGTTAACCCCTACGTTGAAAAATTGAATTGATCATTCCCAGATTTTTGAGTTGTTTGCACCAACGAATGCACTCACAATCTCAAGAGTTAAAACATAGGAATTTGTCAAGTGGTAACCAATATTAACAGGGTGTTTACCCCTTCATTAAATGTGCTCTCAGCACCCTGTCTTTCCCAACAAAGAAAAATAGTGCAGCATTTTTGTAGACATTACTGGGCCTGACCTGTACTGCAAAGTGCAACGAGGCAAGACAAAGCAACTGTGAGATCAAACAAATGTCACGTGGCTGGCCTATGATCCTAAGGTTTGACACTCCTCTGATACTATAAGCAGAATAGAGAAGCTGATGTATGTAGAAAACCCAAGCAGGTCGTCACTTCGACATACTGACCTGTTGGGGGTAAAAACACCCGCCCATTCCTAAACGATGCCTAGATTACACGGGTGCAGGCACAACCATAAACCCTGAAGTATGTAGCCTGTCACTGCAGTGATCTGGTATATCATGGCTTGTCCATATCTGCTGCATTCGGGTGTGTGCCCAGAATAGTTTCACATCACACCGCCGTGTTCGATTCCAGTGCTCCACAAAAATAATCTGACATGCAACACACTGCTTTTGATTGTACCAAATAAAAATTCAGAGTTAGGACTTACCGGTAACTCTATTTCCATTAGTCTTCCAGGACAGCATCACGAGATGGAATCTCCTCCCCCACACACAGGAAACACGTCACTTAATCTGTTTAAAAGACCCTCCTCTCCTCCACTCCCTCAGTCATCACGAGAACCGAAGGCAAGCTGGAAAAAGACAAGGCACA